TACCCAGTGCAATCTACAGCTTCAATGCAATTCCTATAAATATTCCAATGGCATGCTTCAAAGAAATAGAACAAGTAATCCTAAACTTTGTTTGAAACCACACAAAACTGATCTTGAGAAAGTAAAGCAAAGCTGGAGGCATCATGTTCCTAATTTTAAACTATATTACACATAGTACTTAAAATAGCAGGGTAATGGCATGAAAACAGACACATATATTACTGAAGCAGAATAGAGAGCCCAAAAATAAAGCCACACATATAAAATCAATTGGTTTATGACAAAAGGAGCCAAGAATATACAATGAAGAACGAACAGTTTCTTTAATAAATGGTGTTGGAAACACTGAACAGCCACTTGCAAAAGAATGAAACTTGACCCATTTCTTATGCCATACACAAAAATTCACTGAAAATAAATCAAACCCTTGAACATAAGACCTGAAACCATAAAACTCCTAGGAGAAAACATAGATGGTACGCTGATGGTTTTTTAAATCTCACACCAAAAGCAAAAGCAACAAAAGCAAAAATAAACAACTGGAATGACATCATACTAAAACACTTCTGAACAGCAAACAAAACTATGAACAGTGGAAAAGCAACCTATTGAATGTGAGAAAATATTTGCAAATCATATATCTGATAAGAGGCCAGTATCCAAAATATATAAAGAACTTATATAGCTCAATAGCAAAAAAATTTTAATCTGATTTAAAAATGAGCAGAAGATCTGAATACACAATTTTGCAAAGACTACATACAAATGACTGTCAGGCACAAGAAAGGATGTCAACATCACTAATCACCAGGGAGATAAAAACCAAAGCCACAATGTGTATCATCTCACACCTGTTAGCAGGGCCATTTTCAAAAAGACAAAAAACAGCAAGTGCTGGTAAGGACGAGGAGGAAAAGGAACAGTTGCACATTGTTGATGGGAATGCCAGCCATTGCAGCCACTATCAAAAACAGTATAGAGGTGGCTCAAAAAATTAAAAATACATTTATCATATGTCTAAAAAAATAAAACATTAACTCATAATAACATATGTACCCCTCTGTTCACTGTAACATTATTTACAATTGCTAAGATATGTAAATAATCTGTGTCTATCAATGAGTGAAGAGATAAAAAGTAGCATATAATATATATTATATATGTATATATATTATATATAATATACATGTATATATTATGTGTTATATATACAATTCAGTCATCTTTTAAAAGAATGAAATCGTGCCATTTGCAATCACACAGATGGACCTTGAAGGCATTATGCTAAGTGAAATAAGTCAGATAGAGAAAATCAATTACTCATTACTGTATGGTCTCACTTTTATTGTGACATCACAAAAAGCTCATAGATACAGACTGGTGGTTGCCCAAGACAAGGGTGCTGAAGGAGAGGAGAAATGGGTGTAGGAGGTCAAAAGATAAAGAGGAAAAAAAATAAAAAATCAGTGATGAATTGAACGTGAGACTCAGAGGGAGAAGTAACAGCCCAAGATGGGGCTCTTCTCAGATCACTAGCTGGAGTAATGGGCAAATGGAAGTGTTGCTAACAGGAAATACAGGAGGAGAAAAATGTTTTCCATCCATTGCTTCGTACCACTGGTGTAAAGCGAAGGGAAATGGTGTTCAAATGGGCAGGAAGTGCCGGCGAGGGCAGAATAATTCAAATTCATTTCCTACGTACCCCTGCCATAGGAAGCTCCCTGAACACTAATGTGGCCATCATTCCAGCCGGCAGTGGTGCCTAGTCACCTAAAAGGTAACGTGGCTCCAGTGTTGCGAGCAGGCTCTAGAAAGATTCTTTAGGTTTTACCCCAGTTCCACAAATGACTGGTTGTATGGCTGGTGTCTCGAGTTTCTCACCGTATAAGAGGAATATTAACATGATCTCAAAGAGATTAGGTCAGATGATACAACGTGAAGGTCAGGGGGCAAGGCCTGCCATACAGTAAGTGCTCGGTAAATGCCAGCTGCTGGTAAGTCCCCCTTCTCTATTATAACCTTTAGTTTTATTACTAGGGGAAACACATGCATATGTGGTTGTGGATATTTGGGTAATAATATCATTTTGTCTTGTCTGAATGGCCAGTGTAAAACAACTGAGAGAAAAGGTCTCTTCTATCAGTTTCAACCAGAGCAGACTGTGGCACACGGGAGCAGAGCTGGTATTTCTGTGGTCCTGAATGTGAAACCATATAAATCTGGTGTTGCATTTACCTTGCCAAAGGCAGGTAGCATTTAAAGGTTAAAGAAGTCATGTTTTCCATCCAGTGTTAATGCAAACACTACGCAAGGGTCAGAATCATGTCCTTAAATCTCCTCTGGCAAATAAGACAGTCTGTTTCCATTTGAGGTAGTTTTGTAACAATGCCTTCAGCTTCAAAAACCAGTTCAGGAAGGAAAACCAGCAGAGCAGGTCACTAATTATAAAACATTTACAGAAGCCTCAGAATAATTCTGTGAGTCAAAAAAGAAAATCTTGCATGTCAAACAGTCTGCCTTTTTCCCTAAAATATATTTCCTAGTGTTTGGCTCAAATTTCTGTCATTTGGCAGAGGGAACATCATTGAAACAACGTAGTATGAAATTGGTTCCAAATAATCTGAGGCCTTAAATCCAGGAATGGGCTCTGCTGCTGTGGGCCCTGGGTGGCTCAAACTAGCAGGTTCCCCTAGCAGCGCGTTCCAGTTAGTCTTCCCAGGCCCTGAAAACATGAGACTCGCCTGGCCTGTTCACGATACATTAGTGTCAGCGTCACCTACCTGGCACAACTAGAGGATGAGTACATGGTTTTTGTTAATAGTCTTCCCCCACATGCATTCCTAGAAAAAACAGCCTAACAGATGAAAGTACAACAAAATAAAGTTTGTACAAGGAGAGAAATAAAGACCCCTTTAATATATCAAGTTACAATGCCTTTCTAACAGCAATATTCCTGTTTTTGTTCACTGGCCCAGATTTTTTTCACATCAGCTTTCCTGGAGCTCAAACCATGAAAACATCTGGATTACATTTTTTGGAGATGGAATAAATAGGCTGAAACTACATGGAACTGATGTAAGGAGAAAAGGGACTTCTAACCAAATGTGATCTAGAAATGCATGTGCCAATAAGGACACTTTGAAGGAATTATTAGCTTATAATCAGCATTTTTCAGTCAAAGATTAGCTAAAGAAAAGCAATGTCTGCTATGATGTTAAAATTCATGCATGTAAGAAATGTCATGTAATGTATTCTCTTCTTGGTTATTTAAGAAGAGAACTTTAAATCACATGCATTACGCTTCTCTGTCTCTCTGTGTGTCTCTCTCATGCACATGCACACACACACACAAACAGGAGCCAGCAAGAATGTGTTCAAATAGAGCTCCCTGATTCTAAAGAGATGGTTAGAGGTACACAGTCTAATTCTCTTCAAGAAAAAAAGTTTTTTTTTACTTCATTTTGATTCTATGGCTCTACAGATACAACCAAAGGTTTAACCAAAAGTAGTGTTAGCCTTCATCCTCAGGCTGATACATTTGTTCAGCCGTCTACAACAACCATACCTATGAGAACCTGAGATGAAAGCAGATTCAATTTAGAAAGCACACATTTTAAGGAGCCACTAGGGATTTCTGCCTTCCAAGAGAACCTGTGCCAGTATTTAGTGATCTCGAGCCGTGGGAAGTGACAAGTCACCCACATGCCCTAACCCTTACTACCACTGGCAAAGCATGGTGCACCGCTCTGATCTCCCTTCACAAAGAACTTACCAATCATCTGCAACAATCCAGGTAACTGACTCCCTGCTGTTAGGACCTCCTGATCTGCCTCAGCCCCTCCACCAAAGAAAGCCCCAGCAACAACTGAGTGTGGTGTCCACTGGCACTCTGCACAGGGCTGCTTTGTGGGACAGGATGAATTGTCAGATCCGCATTGTGGCCTGAGGCTCAGCCTGCCCAGTTCTCACCTCCATCCCTTATCTCACAGAAGCACCATCCTCCAAGAACATTCACCTTCTCCCCAGAATCTGCTTTCGGGATCTTCCAATAGACACAGCCTATTTATTCTCAGTTTCCACTTAGAAACACATCTTGTCAGATTTCTATATACAAACTTGGAGACTGCTGATAGAATTTCTCAAAACACGTACAAAAGTGAATTAATGAAGAGATGCTTTTTCACCTCTATACATTTCCTTTTAATAGTTCTAAACAGAAGCAGGCTCACTTTTCCCTCTCCCTGAGACTGTTTTCTGAGAGATTCATCATTTAAAATGCTCATGTTTCCATGCCCACCAGCCAGAGAGTGATCCTGGGGCAGGCAGGAATTCTTCATCGTGTTTGCCCACTGCTAGATGAAGTAGTATATTTTCCTGGACATTTATGAGAAAAGCTTTGCTTTTCTAATGACTTTTTTCCCTGATAGAGTTTGCCACCCTACATAAGTAAGAAAGCAAAGTAAAAGAATTCACATTGCACGGGTGCTTTTATATGTAGGAACTAACATCACTTTAAAATGGAATTTGGTTTTAGAGCTGCTGAGTATCATAGCAGTTATGGCCATCCTACAGATTCTTATAAAGACTTTGATTAAGGAGAACCAAAGAATATTTCTGAATATAAAGCAACTGGTAATGGGAATAAGGGCTCATATAATAATTGGCTTCATGAATTCCATGACTGAGAGGAACACAGCAAACTAAAGTGTTTAACCCCCCAAACAGTGATGGGACATTTCAACTTTTCAAACTAAAGACAAGCAGCAGTTTTGATGGTGAATTGATGTGCCATCTCATCACTGGTGGTTTTTTATTGTTGTTTGTTTAAGAGGATACACAACTCAGGACGATGGAACACCTGACTATAGGTATAGAGGAAAACTAGGCAGGAACAAGTGACAGTATCAAAACAACAACAAGGGACTTGATATCTGATGCTTGTGTGAACTGGGTCTGGCTAGCTTAGATCTCCAACTAGGAAGAGAGAAAATGTTTGTTACCTTGACTTTGGCAGTACATCCTGAAAGTCGAAAAATTCCTTCAGATTCCAAACCGGATTCCTCAACTTTCTCAAAAAACTAAAAAGCAATGATACATTACAAAAATAAATACCTCCAATACAATTACAAATAGTAAAACAATAGTGTTGATGACAACAAATGATAAATTACCAAGCATTATACATGCTTGGTACTGGAACACTGTGTTGAGTGTTTGCAACCACCCCATGAGGTCTCCATGAGGAAATGGGGACCGAGAGGCATTGCATCACTTTCCCAAGGTCGACCGTAAAGGTAATGGCACCAACTCACTGAAGCTCGTGCTCTTCGCCACTCAAGTATGCTGCCTGGTAACTACTTTAAGAGGTGATTACTACCTCTCTTTCTGCAGTCTGACCAGTAAGAAAAAATTCTAAATTCACTCTCAGTACTTGCAACCACTCTGGCTAAGAAACTATAGGAACTCTACAAAATGACCAAGGAGGTAGAAATTATAAACGTTTATAGCTCCCGTGAACTCTCACAGTGATGAGGATGGCGTTAATAATCTACTAACATTGATTGTGTACATTTTGTGTGTTAGATACTGTTCTCAATACTTCACACTGATCAACTCATTTAAATCCTCACAATAATCCTTTGAGGAAGGTTCTATTAGAATCCTTATTCTACTGCTGATGAGACTGAGGCATGGTAAGGATGAATACTTGCCCAGCTTCACACAAGAGCAGATCTACAGTCTTTGCTATTTTCCCTTCAAGATATGATGGTGCCTGAAACTAGGGTAGTTCTTGTAGGTATGGAGAGAAATAGATATGTAGGAGGAAGAAACTCACAAGAAAAGACTCTCTCATAGGAGCAGGAAGGTAATAAGTTAGGTTGTCTTAAATGAGGAACACTTAATATTAACATCAGTAGGAATAATAGCGGACATTTATTGAGTTGCTAATGCAATATAATCCTGGGTTTAGTTGAACTGTCATTCATTGTGCACCTTCCATTTGCTATGTCCTTTGCTAGGCTTCTGCACTTACATAGCAACATAAATTCATGTACTGAAATTTCTGTCTTGGATTTTTATTCATTTTCTTCAAACACTGTCCTGTACAGAGAGATCAAAGGGCATAATTCTGGTTCTAATTCAAGAACGGAAAACAAAATCTTAGGGTCACCATGGACTTTGACCTTGATTATATACTGTGTTCCTTTTCACATATACCTCTTGCTAGCTGTGTGTTCTTGGGTAAACTACCTTACTTTACTATGTCTTAGTTGTCTCATCAGTAGGAGATGGTAACACTGACCTCCTTGGGCTGATTAGTGCTGACAAAATGTGACAGGATTGGAGGGTACTGGAGCAGCCCTGAGCAGGAGAGGTGCCCTACAGACAGGCCCCACACACACTGGCACGTGGCCAGCATCCTCTGCCATCCTCCCTTCTCCCATTGGCAGCCAATTAATCACCTGATTTGAGGAGTAGCTCAACTTGAGGTATTAGTAGCAAAATTTAGAAAGATAGTGAAGAGATGGAGAATTATTACTGTGAATAATGTACGTTTCCTCAGTATTTTCACAAATCACTTAAAAACTCAATTTAAAGTTCAATAGAATTTGTGTTTAGGGTTTTCAATTTTAATTGTGCCATTGGATTTCACTGTTAAATAAATGCATACTCAGTAAATTGGTGTAAACTGTTGGGTATAAAAAAATGTAATTTAAAGCACATGTCCCAATCACCAATGACAGATACTAGCATATGACAGTTTAAATAATATCACTTTCAAAACTTCCCAAATCAAAATTCTTCTTTGTCTAACTCTATCCTATTTTCCTAGTCATACCTAAAAGACTACCATAACAAGCTGGTTTTTATACTTTATTAAGCTTTGCTTGGAAAACTCATTTAAATGATTACAAGCACACATTTGAAACACTCAACCTATATCTCAGCATATATTTGCATGATCAGTAAATACACTGCTCATAATTGTCATCTTTTATTTCAGACAGAATAATCAAATATACACAAACACATACATACAAATAATTTTTTGTCCAAACATTTTTCATTTTTTAAAATATATTTTATTGATTATGCTATTATAGTTCTCCCATTTTTTCTCCCCTTTATTCCCCTCTGCCCTGTAATCCCCTCCCACCAGCATTCCCCATCCCTTAGTTCATGTCCATGGGTTGTACACATAAGTTCTTTGGCTTCTCCATTTTCCATACTATTCTTAATCTCCTCCCATCTATTTTCTATATACATTTTATGCTTCTTATTCACTGTACCTTTCCTCTGACCCTCCCTGCTGATAACCCGCCATGTGATCTCCATCTCTGTGGTTCTGTCCCTGTTCTAATTGTTTACTTAGTTTTTGTTTTCAGGTTCAATTGTTGATAGTTGTGAGTTTGTCATCATTTTACTGTTCATAGCTCTGATCATCTTCTTTTTCTTAGTTAAGTCCTTTAACCTTTTATATAATATGGGCTTGGTTATGATGAACTCCTTTAACTTGACCTTATCTAAGAAGCACTTTATCTGCCCTTCCATTCTAAATGATAGCTTTGCTGGATAAAGTAATCTTGGATGTAGGTCCTTGCCTTTCATGACTTGGAATACTTCTTTCCAGCCCCTTCTTGCCTGTAAGGTTTCTATTGAGAAATCAGCTGATAGTCTTATGGGAACTCCTTTGTAGGTAACTGTCTCCTTTTCTCTTACTACTTCTAAGATTCTCTCCTTATCTTTCATCTTGGTTAATGCAACTATGATGTGCTTTGGTGTGTGCTCCCTTGGGTCCAACTTCTTTGGGACTCTCTGCTTCCTGGACTTCCTGGAAGTCTATTTCCTTTGCCAGATTGGGGAAGTTCTCCTTCATTATTTGTTCAAATAAGTTTTCAATGTCTTGCTCTTCCTCTTCTCCTTCTGGCACCTATATGATTTCTATGTTGGAACATATAAAGTTGTCCCAGGGGTTCCTAAGCCTCTCATTATTTTGAATTTTTGTTTCTTCATTCTGTTCTGGTTGAATGCTTATTTCTTCCTTCTGGACCAAATAGTTTATTTGAGTCCCAGTTTCCTTCCCTTCACTGTAGGTCCCCTGTATATTTTCTGTTATTTCACTTTGCTTTGCTGTCACTTTTTCCTCCAGTTTGCGACCATACTCAACCATTTTTGTGAAAATCTGGATTACCAGTGTTTTGAACTGTGTATCAGTTAGGTTGGCTACCTATTCATCACTTCTGTTTTTGGAGCTTTGATCTGTTCTTTCATTTGAGCCTTTTGTTTTTTGTCTCCATGCACCTGTTACTAGTAAGGGGCGGAGCCTTAGGTATTGGGCAGGGCAGGGCAGGGCAATCCACATGGTTGCATTGCGGCACTGTACATGGGGGAGAGGCCAGGGAAGAAACAATGCAGCTTGCTCAGCTCTCGGCTGGCTTTCAGTCACTTCACCCACTACCCACAAGCAAATTGGGCTCTTCTGGCACTGATTCCCAGGTGGGTGGGTTTGTATACATTCTAGGACCCTGTGGGTCTCTCCAGCAAACTGTCCTATGAACCTGGGAGGTTCTCCCACCACTGCAATTCCCACAGATTTTTACAGCCAGAGATTTTGAGGCTTTATTTCCTGGCACTGGAATCTTGGGTTGCACAATCTGTCTCACTCCCCAGTTGTTCCTCCCGGTTTATCCACAGGCAAATGTGGGACCACCCACTCTGCCAGTCACCACCTTGCCTGATCCTCCAGCCTCCATCTTACTTGCCCCAGTCCTCCAGTCATTGCCTTGCTACCAGTCCTTTCCACCTCAGCTGCCTGTTTCTGCCCCTCCCACCAGTCTGGGCAAATGTTGCTTCTTTAATTCCTTGGTCATTGGACTTCCAGACAGTTTGATTTTCTGGTTATTTTTTGTTTTTAAATTTGTTGTTGTTCTTTTAATTGTGTGAGGAAGCAAAATGTATCTACCTACACCTCCATCTTGGTCAGAAGTCGCCACACATAATATTTTTAAAAAATATTGGAAAAAGATATAACCAAAGGAAGCCATGGATGCTCTATGGTTAAACAATGTAACAGGCTCCAAGAGTTCACAGCAAGGCCAACAGGTCCAGGTGCTTGTAGGATGGATGGGATTTCTTGGAATAAAACAGAAATTCACCAAAGGCCTGAGCCCTAACAGGGCTTGCCTCAGTGTCTTTAAAGCTAAAGAAAAAATCATTAGCAGCTTTACAAATAGCAAATTGCAAGCACAAGTTCTATTAATTCCCCACTCATATTCTACTCACTTTTTGTAATACAAGGGGAACTTTTACTCCAGGGTCCTTCTTTCGGTCATTGTCCAGTAGGACTGTAAGTGGAACTCCAAAAATCCCATTGTCTTCATTGTAAAATAGTTGAGAAAAAAAAAGAATCAGAAAAGCACTATGTATTCCAGTATGTCAAAGTGTTAAAATCAGAAGAAATCAATCCTCTTAATTACCTCTTCCTTTTACTTTCTCTGTTTTGTTTCTCTTCAGTGGAATTCCAAAGGCATCAAAAAAGGCTGTCAATTCAATCAGAGAGAGGTGGCGAATTTTCTTCATGTCTTCGGCAGATAGATCTCCTGCTTCAGTTAGGCCAAATCTGGTTTTCTGAACAATAAATTTCTAAAATACATATTAAGAATATTTATTATTTAAGAAAAATCATTATACTTTCATTCAAATGCTATCTGGACATTCTAAATCTGTACAACACATGCTATTTGCACATATTAATAATAATAACTTTTTAAAAATCTGAGGCACATGCTGAATCATAAAAGATTATATGTGTGATTTTTAGAATATTTGCTGTTTACTACTATGCTAAATTTGAAGTAAAGTAATGGCATGAATACACTATAGTATTTGCAACACAACTGTAAAAACTGCTTCTTCCAAGGACCACCCTTACTGTTGACAACAAATACCCAGGCATCGTGTGACATGTGCATGCCATGGGCACAGGTGAGACAGGTATACAGAGCACTCCTTCTGTGTACTCTCAGAAGAGCTTTCAGCGTATTTTTTTGTTTTGGACTATAGTCCTTAAATCAGGTACCACATACTCTCTTCTGAATAGTTTAAAAGACTGTAAGTAATTTCCCAGTTGAAACTGATTACACATGTTTGCTGACACAGTAGTTATTCTACCTTAAAAATCAAATTTAGATGATTCTAAATATTCTTAAAAAGAACAATGCATAAAAAGTGCCAAGTAATCTACTATTATTTTAAAGACAATGATATTATTACATTCTCTATTTCTATATTAGAAAGAAAAATACACTAAAACAACAAAAAAACCTTCAATAATCCAGAAATATTGTGAAGACTATAAGAAGACTTTTTAAAACCAAGAGATTGTTCTTGTTAACATGTTAGTATCACTGCAAGTATTATATGTACCGTATTTTTTGGACCACAAGATGCACCTAGGTTTTAGAGGAGAAAAATAGGGAAAAATTTTGAAGCAAAAAATGTAGTAAAATATTTAATAACATAAATAATATTTCATCAATGTAAATAAATGTAAAGCTATATTCTGACTATAAGATGCACCCCCCTTTTCCTCCCAAATTTTGGGGAGAAGTGCATCTTATAGTCTGAACAATACAGTAATAATAATAATAAAATGTAAATATTATATAATTAACATAGAATTATATAACAAGTATAGACTAAGTATTATATATAGTCAGTATATAGTATATAACAAATATTTTGCTGTCAGGAAATGTGGCACTAAAAAATGCTAAAGTAGAAAACTATAATAGTGACTTAAATTACAAAGCTTTAAGTCCACAATTTTCCCTAGGGGTTCCTTAAATTAGAGCTTCCTTGGGGTTTTAAAACCATCCACCAATTCATTCATTCATTTATCCATTCAACAATTGTTCCTTGGAACTCCCAGTATTTAAAAGTTAAATAACAAAAGGTAGGATGTGGTTTGGGGTATAACTTGTGTTATTAGGTACTTAGCTATTTTACCTTCTGAGACCAAGCTTTCATGTAACACATAACAACATATATAACAATACATACAATAACAATATATAACAACACATAACAATAATACATAATATATAACAACACATAACAATGATACCATAAAACAATATATAACAACACATAACAATAACACATAACAACAATATAAACAACCACCACAATCCCTTATTGAGTAATTACCTCATGCTAAACCTCATGCAAAGTTCATCATGGGAGGGAGGCTGCTCTGCACCCTAGGCAAGCCAAACCTCAGGAAAAGACATACACTTGGAAGAGGGCTCTGGGGACCAGCATGCTTGCTTGGACAGTTCTCTCTCAAGGCTCAGAGGGACTCCCCTGGAAACCAGAGTCCTGCTGGATTTCCTCTCTTGGTCCAGAATGCCACTGAGCCCTTCAACATAGAGGCTGCTTAGGAACCAAGAGGGATTACTTAGTTTCTCTGGGCCTCAGTTTTCTCAGCTGAAAAATGGGACCAATCATAGGGATGATTATAACTGAATACCTAGTACAGTGTTAGGCCCATAGAAGGTACTCAATGAATCTTAAAGTTCTGGTTCTGCCCTCTGCTTCCTCTCCATCATGGGATGTTTGTCTGAGAATGGCCCAGGCTCCCTGGGGCAGACTCTGCCTATTGCCTTTGGCTCTGAACTGACCTGATCCCTGCTCATCGTGCTGTCTGCTGATCAGCACAAAATATTCAGGGCTCCATATCACCAACTCTTCACAAGTGCATTTGTTGAGTAGCAAATAGATTAATGTAGCATTTTCTGTATTGGGCTTTCAGGATATAATATCATATATATATACACACATAATGTATATTATATTACATATAATACATAAAAATATATGCATTTGTGTGTATGTATATATATATATATATATAAATATATAAATGAGGCTTCCAGGATAATGAAGCATGTAGCACTACTTGCTCTTCCATAATAATAATATAAATTCTTGAATTTATTTTGAATTTTAGTGCCTATCCTGTAAGCTCTCATTTCTTGTTAGGACTGTGACTTTCTGCAATACTCTCTTCTGATATGTGCTTCTAGAAGTACAAGTAGATAATACAGTTAGAGTCTCCACTAACCTATAAGTAAGGATATGAAATGCATGAAAGCACACAAGCCAGGTAGAAATCCTATTTCATCTATACAATGATACTCACACATACACCCTTACAACTCTTCCCCAACCCAGGGCTGCCAGAAACAGCCAGGCAGGCTGTGTGCACTGCACAGTAGGTGCTCCCTGAGTGCTACGAGACACTGCTGCCCGGCCTCTCGCCATCCTTTGTGCACACACAAAGAAATTTGTTTTGAAATCCTTGTTTGTGCTCTGGGCAGTGTGGTTTAGTTGGTTGGAGCATCATCCCATTGCCAAAATGTTGTGGGTTTGATCCCTGGTTGGGGTGTGTATGGCAAGGCAACCAATTGATGTTTCTCTCTCACACTGTTTCTCTCCCTCCCTTCCTCTCTTTTTGAAAACAATAAAAAATATGTCCTCAGGTGAGAATAAAAAAAAATCTAGTTTGTGCCATGGAGAAGTGACAGGAAGCTAGTGCAATAAGGATGAAGGGTTTTACTCACAGTTAAAATATAGTCTTCTTTTTTAAAATCTGACTTCTTAAACTTATTTCTTTTTGGAGCCTCTGTAACCATTTCCGAGTAAGATACTTCAAAGGACAGCTCTTCGGCTTTTGATGGAATGTTCTTTTCCAGATAATCATCATCTAATTAAAAAAGATATAAAACATTTAATATGCCATTTAATCAATCAATACCATTTACTGTAAAATAAACACAAACTATTTACGAGTTAATTCATAAGCACGTTAGTATGTTTAAATGTGAGGAAAGGCATCAGATTCATCCAGAATGATTTCAGTTCAACAGTAATACAGTGTCATCAGACTCCCCTATGAACACATTTCTGTAATCATTATCTAAACAAATTTCCTATTTAATGTGATGTTTTCAATTTTAGATTTTTATGTCTCATGAAAGGCACTGAGTATAACTAGAGGAAAGCCTGAACATGGGATATTTCCATATATTTTATGGTATTAAAATTAAGCCCATCTAAACCCAATGTTGCTGCTACTGGGGAGTGGCCTACTGGTTGGCTTGCTTGCAGCTGTTAAGCAGAGTGCTTACGGAAGAGGCTCCAAATCAAAGACACTACCCGAGTGAGTAGTTTCTGAATGACATGGTGGCAGCAAAGGAGGGAAAGATTCTGCCTCCAGTTTGGCTCTATTAATTTTGTCTGGTGCAGCAGAGCAGGGTGTTTGGAGGTGGTAGGAGTGCCTGCTGGAGTGACAGAATCAGTATGGGGAGAGTAACACACTTATATTTCCCTTTCAGAAATTTACTGCTCATTTTACTGAGCACCAGCACAGAAGTGAGAAGACATAGATCAAGGTCAATAGGAGTGTGTATCACTCACCACTCACTGCACTCTGAACTGCCTGTCCAGGGTCTGCCGATCCATTGGAATGAACTGGTATATCTGGAATAGTCTCAAGGATAGGCTGTGAAACAAGGGAAGAGAAACACAAAACATTTACTGTAAATGAAGTCTATTTCACATTTCAATCTGACTTCTGTTTGGTAGTATAAAAGAATTAGAAGCAATTCTTGATTTCATAAAGAGTCTGCATCTAATTTCCTTTGTTTTTTTCATTCAATTCAGACCTCTACAGCCCACATAGTTATCTCCAAAGAGAATTAAGTGAAGGTCAAAATAAGCACTTAGCTCTTAAATATTCTTAGCTCTGAAATATTTGTTGCTCATCTATTTCCTAATATATTGAAAGCACAATGCTTGATGTAACAACATAGTTTGACAATCAGTGTATTTGTTATTCTTAATGTGCCTGGTCACAGATCTTGTTTACAAACTCTAAGTCATGAGATAGGCAGGTGGTCAGTGAAAGGGATGCTAGCACCAGGCTGCTTGAATTTTAATCCTGGCTTTACCGCTTGCTGTGTAACTTTCACCAAGTTACTGAACTCTCTATTGTGTAGTCTCCTAATCTGTAAAATGAAGATGACAGCAGAACATATTTTAGAGAGTTATTCTGAACTTGACATCCTATGTGAAATCACATGAAACAATATCTGGGATATAGAACTATGTAAGAGTTAGCTACTATTAATATACTAACATATTAATTCCTTTACTATAAAATAGTTATAACAACTGCCAAAAAATTAGGAATGTTTCCTAGTTGTTTCCCCTCTTAATAAACTTACTGTCTTCTGCACAGAGACCCCACCAAAGCACTGCGCCCCCTGCAACACTATCAGATGCTGAGGATGCGCCTCTGTACAGGCCTGAGAAGCAAGTCACTGCTCTGGATGGATGGATACTAATAAGAAACATTTACACACAAATCCTACCATTTCTATGAATAACATTTTAATGTGGTAGTTATCTCATATTATGGGTGTGAGCATGAAAATCTTATTTTCACATTTATTTAGCAATTTCTGAACACCTGCTTCACAAAAGATGCTTTGTTGTACTACAAATTACACAAAGGAGTCTGAAATTCTGAGCCTGCAATCTTTTTTTCCTATTTAATTCAAAGGAGATGACACAACTTATTGTGTAAACAGCATGTGAATACACGGCCAATTATTAAAACATAGATGACTAATCACACAATTGGTAGAAGAATAAAAAGACAAAAAGGTCTAGGGCCATGAAATTCCTGGTTAGTCAGATTTTTGGTGGCTCTAAAACCTAACACTACAGAATAAAGATTACCCATTCACTAAAATTCTGAAAAAGATATGGACCATTTTCAGTGGTTTCCTCAAGTTTTCCAATGAAGAAATGTGTTATCAAACTTTGAAATAATTCCCCCATAAGACAGAACTCGAAAATTGAAAGATATTGATGTAGGGCTTAAAGTTGATAGTTTAGGATACTTTAACCTACTTAATGTTAATTCCTTACTCTGTAAAATGGAGAAGCTAGCCTGTTGGGCCGAATGAGTGCCTGCACTTTGTAAATTATTCTGGGACTTTGTGAGGAAGCCGAAGTTTAAATTGTGATCCTTGCTCCTGACTATTTATAATGAGGAAAACAGAGTAACATTTATGCAACATTATTTAAAGATAATAAGTCCACTGGTAAGAGGGAATTTCCATAACACAAACATAAGCAGAGAGAGCATTGGAGAGGAAGGTGTGGCCCAGAAGGTTTTACTAAAGAGGTGATTGAACTGGCCCTGAACTCAAGGGAAGATGAAAAGGACGTACAAAGGCAGAGGAGACGGGCAAAAGCATTCAGGCCAGATGTGGAAGTATAAATTGCAGGTATGGAACTATCTGAAGCATTTCAGCTATAAGGGATCATGGAGAAACTAGTTGCCAGGAGTTGAGGCAAAATGTTAAAAAATGTGAGAGACAACATTAGTCAAGATGATCTGTTCAAGCTACTGAAGGCTTTGAAAGTCAGGTAAAGGAGCTGAGACTTAGAGTCACAAGGGTTAAAACAAAGCAGAACAAAAACAAAAGACATTCCCTGTGATAAAGCAGAGGAACAGCAAGGTGAAAGTGAAAAAGGAAGATGGCCTGCCAGTGAATGGACTTTGAATTTTGAAGTAGATTGAGAAAAAAGGCTATGTGCTTGGTATTCAGTTTTTTTTCCATTGTACTTTTTTTCCCCATTACTATTTAGTCCCCTTACACCCCGCTCACCCCAACCCAAACCTCAATCACCATACAGTTGTCCACATCCATGAGTCATTTTTCCTTTTTGCTCAATCACCCTGTCCCCTCCCCTGCCCCCTCTTTGCTATCATCCTGCTCTCTATCAGTGAGTCTGTCTCTCTTTTACTTGTTAGTTCGGGTTGTTCATTAGATTCCACATATGAGTGAAATCATATGGTATTCACAGTTTTAAAACATCTATTTACCCATTAAACATAATAACACCAGTAGTTTAAAAAACTTACTAGCGATTTTAATCTATTTAAAGCATAAATGCCACTCTCATTTAAAACAAACTCCCCTGGCTTGTCCGTAACAGATCCTACTGTTTATCTGTGGGTCCACCCACAAGAGTTCCTCATTGGGGCTTCAAATGGCAAAGAATGGCAACATTTTCAGCCACCAAAGCTCCCTCTGCTGTTCAAATCATACTGCATTGGGACTGGAGAGTAAAGTAGGGAGGATTATTATTTTAAATTCCAAATTACAGAAGGTTTGCACTACCTGCTTGAGCTCTCTTAAAAGTAGACTTTGACTATCTGATACATCCTTCACATTAAAAAAACACCATAACGCCCTGGCTGTGTGGCTCAGTGGACTGAGCGCCAGACTGCGAAGCAGAGAGTCACTGGTTCGATTCCCAGTCAGGGCACACGCCTGGGTTGCAGGCCAGGTTCCCCAGTGTGGGGAAGCACAGGAGGCAACCGCACACTGATGTTTCTCTCCCTTTCTTTCTCCCTCCCTTCCCCTCTGTCTAAAAATAAATAAATAAAATCTTTAACAACAACAACAACAACAACAAAACACTATACTGCTTTCCTATTCATTACTTACAGGAGAAATTCACTGACTCAAGAGATGTTTCTGACCCTCCTGACTGGCTGCTTGTTTTTTTCCTCATGGTTTGAGATTATATACTATATCTATGTGTTGTAACTCTATGTACTAAAGCTGCCTGTGCTTGAGTCACTACAGATAATAAGGTCCCCCATCTTCCTCTTTTGCAACTGAGATCAGAACTAATTGACCTATGCTTTGCAACAGCTGTGCCAAATTCCTCAGAGAACTTAAATAAGCCACATTCACTGACAAATGTGCAATAAATTTTGAATTGAAAAATAACAATTACAAAATCTATCCAAATGTGAATTTATAAAGGAATCCCAATGACATCTTGGATTCAAAATTAAATCACACTTAAAATTATGAACTAAACATTAAAAACAATAAGTACATTAAATTCCAAAAATCCATGAGAATGGCCAAAGTACTGAGATTCTTAACCTTAAATGCAAATGAGAAAGATTATATATAAATAAAATGTTTATAACCCGAGAGAAGGAAAATATTATCTAAGCAGATCTATGAATAGATAAAAAATTAATAATTAAATAAATCAATATAACAGAAAAAGTAGGCTTAATTAAAGGTTAAAAATTGGCAATACTGCAACTATTTAGTTAGATTGAAAAAAATTTTAAAACCATAAATTATGCAAAAATAAAGGAAAAATAGCTACCTTCAAAGGAAATTTAAAAATGACATACTTAAATAAATGTGTATATATAGTCATGTATATGTAATAACATATATTAAAACTAAATAAACTGGATACTTTGCTAGAATATATATTACTCAAATTCATACAAGTTGGGATTGAAGGGACTATAAACCCCAAACCACATCAATTGAAAAATTAACTAAAGCATTATGCCTACTACGATGCAATGCCCTGGATATTTTATAAACACGTTACATTATAATAGAAATTTATATATAATAGATTTTATAGATTATTTATACTAATAAATAATCTACAATAAATGGCTACAAAATACTGAAAAGTGTTCAAAGTGCTCAACCTATTTGTACCAAGATTAGCACAATTCTGGTAACAACAATAGAAATTATACACACACACACACCTTATTAGACTAGTGGTTAAAAATGCTAAAATAGTAGCAAATCATAGTCTGTAGTATGATAAGAGTACCATAACATGATAAGCGGGGTATATATAAGCAACAGAATTATAGTTCAATATTAGGAAAACCTGTCATTAATTTCCTGAATTGCTTAAATAATAAAAATAATATATTCATTTTAATAGATGATGAAATCATTTGATATAATTCAAACTTCATTCCTTATAAAAGCAACTACAAGGCTGAGAAACCAAGAATAAATAAATATTCTACTTAGTGATGAAACTTACAATTCATGAGAAAATTAAAAACTGTAATCTAAAGATCTCCAACATTATTACTCAATGTTACAAGTGATTACAATCAGTCAACAAGAAAAAGAAATAAGATACATTGAGTAAATAAAACTTTCATTACTTCAGATAACTGCACAAATTATAAAATCAAATGAAAAATTCTTAGTAAAAATTTTTTCAGAAAGGAAGTTATAAGAGATATTTTTGTACAAAAACAAAATAATTACTTTTCTTATATATGAGTATCTGCAAAAATAAACTAGATATCATAAATACCCTACTATTTAAAATATGAACAAAAACTATTAAGTGCTGAATAATTAACCAGTAAAAAGATGTGTAAGAAAAAAATATAAGAAAGTTATAAAGTTTTTTTGAAGGATAGACGGTATAAATGGAAAGACACACCATTGTTTCTAAATGAGGAAACTCAGTATTTTACGATGTGAATTCTTTTCCTGACATTAATCTTTAAATTCAATAAAGTTCTCAGGTGAATCCTAAGAAGATTTTATAATGGGAAGTAACAGTTTTATTTATTCTAAGCTCATTTGAAAGAAAACATCTCAGAAGAGCAAAGAAAATTTCGATGCAGAATAATGACAGTGACCTTATAACAAATTTAAAATTAAACTACAGAGTCATAGTAATTAAAAACAGACCCCATATTTATAGGGGTTTCATGTATCACAAAGGTTCATTTCAGACCTGTGGAAAAGATGACAGGCTGAAACAAGTACTGGTCAAGCCAAAGTTATCCCTTTGGAGAAGGTCAAGTGAGGTTACCTCCTCTATACAATGCCACAGCATAAATTCCAATGTGGCAAATTATCAGCAGTCTCTGCAGTCTTGGAGATGACAGTGAAATGTCCCTGGGAATCTATCTAGGCAGGTGAGATTTACCTTTACAGAGGTCATGGCTGGGACCTCTGAATCACTTGCCACCACTTCACTGAATTACTAGAAATTCCACCATCTAGAAGAGACTGGGGAACAAAACTAGGGTGCCCATAGCTCCAACAACCAAGAAACAGGGGAAGCAAAATGTATTTAGCTCCCAGTTCTAGAAGGTTTACCTCCAGATGTTCTACAATGATTTTCAATACAGGTGCATGAAGGGTTACGTTGGCATTTGCGGGCTAGTCTAACAAATAACCAATTTGCTTAACATTTCTAAGTAAAGCTATTCTGAATAACAAACCAAAATCAGTCATGTTAGAGACTGGTGCTGATGAGATTTTTTTTAGATGTTTTTGCTGAAACTTTTATTTTTGTCATTATCAGTATTCAATCAGTTTTCCAAAAACAAGATGAAAATAAAACCAAAATCTGAGTAATTAACTTATCCCAGGAAACTCTATCTATTAATTCCCAAAAAAGATAATTTATTTCTCCTATGCTCTCAAATTTTCAAAAAGTCTATTTGCAGACAACATGTGCTCAGTAAGGATATGTTAAATGAATGAATGAATGTATGAATAAATGAAGTAAGCAACCAATGATATGTAGAAGCTAACAGAAAAAAAGAATAAAAAAATGAAAAAAACACGACTAGCATCAGTCTTTTTTTGCTTAAGGTTTATTTGGTGTTTTAGTTGGTGTGACACTTAGATACTTGGGTGCATTATTTATACGTAGACTTATCTTTTTACATGTATGGCAATGTACACTAATCTGATACACACACTACACAAAATAAGATCCTTTAGAACAATTATGCACAAGACATGCAATATTGGATTTATACACTGGATCCCAGCGTGCTTGACTGGAGAAAATGTTGAACTAGCCATGTTCAAACTGCCATGGAAAAGCCTCAAAAACAAGGCCCATCCAACTGACTTTTTTCTACTCAACTGTGCAAACATCCTGGTCCCATTTCTGCTTGGCATGTGCCTGGAACCAAATGCCTGGGGTGGGAAAGTCAGCTGGAGAGGCAGATGAGGTGTCAGACTGTGTCAGGAAGGTGGGGAGGAAGGGCTGTGAGCTTTAAGCATGACATGCAGCTCTCAGAAAGATGAGTTTGAGGATGTAAACTGAAGTCCAGGGGATGACTTAAGGGACTATTTCAGTAGTACAGAAAGATGATGGTGGGTGTCTGTACTAAAAAAGTAGTTGTAGGAAAAAAGGGGGACTAGACATGTGCTAGAACTACTTAACATAATAAAATCCACAGGTCTCAGTGATGGGCATGTAGAGGAGGAGAAGATCATGAACTTGAAGCTAATATTTAAATCTTAGGCACATGGGTACCACCTGCTGAGGCAGAAAATAATGGATCATAAGCAGGATCCCCATTCAGAGGAGTACAGCACAATTGTATTGAGGTCTATTATGGCTAACTAATTCACTTCCAGTACTTATTAGAGTATATGAATGACTTACTTTAATAAGTAGGGTGGGTTGGAGATCATTATTTGAGATGTATTCACTCATTTGCATTCCAATGCATGGTGTTGAATAAGAAAGTAAGGGCTGACTTTATAGCCAGTTGTTCAGACATTGTGGGTAATTCTTAGCCTATCTATACCAACACCTGTAGTGCTAATGATCAGTTACTCATTGACAAGTCACTCAGAGTATTTTATTTCTTATGTGATCAATGTGCAACAAATCAACTCCATAACCAAAAATCTAAAAACAGAAAAATTGATTTTCATGGGGCTAACAGCATTATCTCCCTGAACAATGGCGATATACTGGAAGGATGATATGCATGTGAATGTCAACTGTCCTGTGCCTCAGAACAGACAAGGAGAAACTACTGCCCTGCAGGGGCATCTGAATGTGCCCCCTCCTATCTGTCTGAAGTGCTATCTGTTGTCCATCAACTTGCTATCAGGGAACCACTACCCCATCTAACAGAATCTCTCACTCCCTCTTGTACATTATGTTACTGCCTGCAGAGACACCATGTGGGGATTCCCAATGAAGGTGGGGAGAGGGGAGTTTTAACAAACAAAAGTACAGGTTCTGTTACTCAAGGCTAAGTAAGTGACTTTGTATGGAGTGGAGGGTTTGCATGAGTGAGTCCTGAGAGCTAAGGCTGGAGATGTAGGCAGTAGTGGAAAACCTTAAATATCAAGATGAGGGGTTTTAATTTATTCTGCAGGTAAAGGGACTTTGGTCAAGATGGTAGAATGCAGCCAGAGCATGTGAGTGAACTCAGCTAAAAGGCCCAAAGCTGGCAAATTCCTCCCTGTTTGGTACACGTAAAGAACATCCTTGGTTTATGGCTGTAGTGGTCTTCTTAATTTAAGAAGTCCTCTTTTAAACTGAAATCTATTCATTCCTCAGTTTTGGGTCTCCTTCCTAATTATTACAAGGTTGGTGGGTCTATTGGGAGACATAAAGTAGGAATACTCTGGCACTCTTTGTTCAAGTTTTTATCTGTTTTGAAGAAACTGCTTCTTTTTGCCTTGACCTTGAAAATTTGTCCTGACATGCAATTACGTTGGCATGCAACGACTTACCACGGAGCCACTGCTGGAAAGTGCAAACTTCCCTCCTTCATCCTGGCACCCATCTGAGAAAGTACTACTGTTGAGAGAAGCATCGTCTGGCTAAATGGAGACATGAAAGTACCATTCTTATTCAGGCAAGTACTTTCTAAAGTGATCGTGTACTCTGCCACATGTACTTATTTAGGTATGTCTGGCAACCTAGGGAGCCATGACTGTCTGGGCCCAAACAACTGCATCCAGCCCGCCAAGGATCATCATTGTGAGCCACCTAAACAGCTTCTGACAGTGGCTGCTGTGGCAAACACTGCTATTGCCTGCCATGAACTCCATTTTCCTTAATAATATCTTGATTTTTGTTCCAAAGATTTAGGTATTGAACTAAAGAATTTGATCTCCAGGAGTTTTTTGCAGCTAAGAGTGATCATGTGACAGGTATGGCCAATGAGGTATCAGACTAATTTTACCAAGAGCCCTTCCAGAAAAGCTGAGGCTTTCCAGAACAAGAACAAGGTCCGCTGCTGCATGCTCATGACAGCACACAGATGAAAGCCGAGAACTGCCTCGCGCCCTGTATGGACAGGGATGATGACCATAGGGGAGAATGCCAGACAGAGATCATGTGTGGTTGGACCCATGCTCAGGGTCATCATGTAGCTGCTCTGTCAGATTTGGGCCATGTCTCTTAATGAGAAGCAAAGCAACTTCTAATTTTCTATTAAATGCAGCCAAACACCAACTTAACTCATCTAACCTTATTTTCTTAACAAACCTGAAACTAACTTTTTTGGAGATTAGAATTCCGTAGCAATAGTACCAAGTTGAGCTGGAACTAAGAAATTTTTGCTTCAGTGTACAATGGCTTTACTGAGATTTAAGACGTAAATATTCTTTCCTTTACTAAAGGAACCTGTTACAAAACTGAGTACAATTTATACTTATGAAGATATACTCTGTCATTCATCTTGCTTGACCATATTTTCTAAATTTTCTATACATAGTATGTATCACTTTGTAAAGTGAACAGAAACATTTTTAAAGAAAGAAATAAAGCATAAGAACTAGCAAAAAATTAAGTCAAGATGATGAATTGACAATCACTATATTTCCTCCCAACCCAAACCACTAAAAATGGTAGAAAAGATATTTTTTAAAGGAACAGATTTTGAATAGCACTTTAAACCAGTAAAGAAATCTGTAGCAGATCAACTGATAGAAATTTCTAGATAAAAAACAAATAGAATTGGTTTGGTAAAATAAAAACCTCTACCTAAAAGCAGAATTTAAAAAAGAAAACCTAAAAAAAGTTTTAAAGGAAACTTGTTGGGAGGGAAGAGAAAAACAAATAACATAGACTGTACACAGAGAAGGAAAGGGCTGCAGGTGAATAATTAGAAATGTTTACAAAAGTGGAGCCAAGCAGATTTCTCTCCCTTAAATATGTAAACATTAACATAACCCTAGGAAAAAATACAGTCTACATAAAATGAACTAATTGCTTTGAAGGTATGTCGGTTTTTAGTTGAGTATAGTGATCTAAGTGAGAGGGAACTTAGGAAGAGAGAAAAAATGACATGGAGGGGAGATTGAAAAATAGCATCAGCTTGGACTGGAAGTAATTAGAAATTCTTCATTCCCTTCATTGGTTTTGTATTGGGGGAGTGTTTACTAACCTACCTGCTTCCTCCAAGCAACTTAAATTTAAGTGTACCCCACTCACAACACATACAACCAACAACTTTGACCTTTCGGGAAAATTCATCTATTATAGGGGGAAAATACAGCAATTTCTTACAATAATCAATCGTAAACTAGTAACTGCAAAGAACTCTAGGGGCCTGGAGAGCTGCAGCTGCACCTGTAAGTGCGCTGGTATCTTCTGCCTGTGGAACACTTTCTGCCCCTTGTCTTCACGGGTGGGGTTTTTGGTGCATCACCTACCTCACCTTCCTGCTGTGACAGGATTCTGGTCCATAGGGCCATTGGGGGAGGGACTGGGAGCTGAACAGGAAAAGATGACAGTCGTAGTCTTGGCCAGAAGCTGTCCCTGCACTGAGGATACCTGCTGCCACCCAAGGGGAGAGGGGCACTTCTCTGACCAGGCACTGCTCTCCCTCAGGCAGACGTTTCACTGTTTGCATCACTTACTGCCTCACAATCCAAATGTTAGCGTGTTCTCCACACAAGATGTTTACATTTGAAAAATAACTGTAAAAAACTAAAGATTTATGCCTTAATACTGAATTACTGAAAAATATTTAAATGCTAGTCTGTTGTTCTTTATGAACTCACCCACAAGGACCAAGTTTGAGTTTCATTTAGGACACACATTAAAAAACAAACTGGTATTTGTTGTTACTGCCTATAGATGCTTTTTTTTTAAAAGGTATAATTTAGTTATTTTTAATTTGTCTATTAAATTAGTCCTTGTTGAGTTTAAGAGCTATGAACCATGGGGCTGTGGGTATCTGTGTTTACCAATAATATGTACCTTTACCCAAGAGGAATAAGAATATATAATTTTTATATTACATGAGTATTCATGGAAGCATTACTTATAAAAGTTTAAACCTGGAAACAATCCAAATGTCCATCATATAGTATATTTTATAGTTATATAAATATACCAATATAGTATATTTATGCAATGAAATAATAGTAATAAAAGCACCAAACTTATAATACAAGCAATAGATGAATCAAAAAAATATTATTATGAGTAAAATAAGTCATTTTCATAGGTGCATACTACATTTATAATTCCATTTATATGGAAGGTGAAATCAACATAAGGTGTTAGAAATCACAACGGGGCTTGCCTCTACAGGAGTAGACCAGAAAGAGTTTCAGAGAAATTTCTGGGGTGACAAAAATGTTTTATATTTTGACTAACTGTGGTTACATAGGTGCAAACATGTTAAAACTAAGTGAATTATACACCTAAAATGTATGCATTTGTTATTTTTAAATTATACCTCAATAAAAAACACATTACAATAATTTGATTCCTTAAAAATAATTGAATTGTTTTCCTCACAGTGATTTATGGATCACTGTAATGAATCAAGAGTCTATGACTATACTAACTGGTCCATCAGAGAGAAAAAGTTGTTCTTGGGAAAGGAGAATAAGTTTGCTAACATTTACAAAAAGTGTGAGGCAAGTTGAAAAAATAATACATTCATGAACAAGAAAAAAATTACTAATTTGGAACATAATGTTGAAGAAATCTAGAACACGAAGTAAACATGATAAAAAAATTTAGAAGATATTAAAATCCAATTCGAGCAAAGCAACAACCATTCGACATGTGTTCCAGAGGGGTGGGGCACAGAAAATGGGGAAATAATGACGACAGAACAGAAGACAACTCTGAACTTGAAGAAAACCATTCTTTGATGGAAAGTACTCACTGAGTTCTGACCAAGACCAATGAAATAAAAGGCAAATTCTTGCAAAAGTTCAGAACTCCAGCAATAAATTCAAAATTCAAAAATGTTGAAGACAGGGTACACAAAAATAACCTAAGAAGCTTATTTAACTTAAAGGAATGAGATTCAGGCAACTAAAATAAGAGTGTAACTAACAGTCTCTCCACGAACAATAGGAGAAATTCTACTGTGCAGGTTTTCCAGAATTACGTCTTCTAATAATAATGGACAGTCAGTTGGCACGTGTTCCTTATAGAAACACCAATGTGGTATCCATACGTTGCTGACCATCTGGTAAGTGTAAGGATTAAAGCCGCACGCTAAGGTGGCAGCATGCAAGAAAAATGTTAGACGTTCATGCTAACGTTTGCACTGTATTGAGTTGCACCAGCCTTGGTCTACCTACCAAGAGTTTTCCAGTTTTGTGACTAAAATATACTCCTACTTATTTAAATCAAGGTTCCTTAGATTTTCTTTTCTATGAAGCAAACCCATATGTAACTGTTCACAGATGGTGTGATTATATTCTGCAGTGAACTGTGAGTCAACACAAGTGTAGCCATGTGATTTTCCTTAGGGCAGGGGTGCCCGACTCACTTTCCCCAGGGCCACATCAGCCTCAAGGTTGCCTTCAAAGGGTGAATGTAACTTCAACTCCTTAACAGTTAAGGAGGAGTTACATTTATACAGTCCTAAAATGATTTTGGCCCTTTGAAGGCAACCTCGAGGCTGATGTGGCCCCCTGTGAAAATGAGCTTGACACCCCTGCCTTAAGGCATTGGAAGTAAACTCAACCGACTGCCTTGTAAATAAACACCTCAATTGATTAATTCATTTATGTCAACTGCACACGTGGGAAATGCTTTCTCTAAAATGCTTTTAGAGGTGTGGGTGATTCAGAGTCAAGGGTCAACCACAAATAATACATGAATAGACTATTCTTTATTGGAAGCAGCCTATTGCTGAATAAACACTTTGAGTATTAATGAAATCATAAAGCATTGTATGTGCTCTTTTTAACAGGTTTATCGTGGTATAACTGACATACCATTAACTGAACATATTTAAATAGTATAAAAGTGTACAATTTGACGAGTTTGGACAAACAGACCTGTGAAACCACTACAATCATAACAATGAACAAAACCAGCACCCCCCAAAATGTCCTCATGCCTCTTTGTCATCTTCCCTTTTCTGCCCTCCTTCACACCAGGTCCCCAGGCAATCACTAATCTTCTTTTTATCATTAAAGGTTAGTTTATGTTTTCTATAATTTTTATGTAAACTGAATCTCTTTTTCTGGCTTCTTTCACATGGCATGATTATTTTGAGGTCTATCCACTTCTACTGTGATAATCCACGGTGCATTGTCTATCTCTATAGTGTATATCAATATTTCACTGCTTTTTTGGGGAGCTAGTATTCAATTATATGGATGGATATACCACAATTTGTTAATCTATTTATTTGCAGGAAAAAAAACTGGGTTATTTCCAGTTTGGGGCCATTATGCTATAAACATCTGTGGATAGTCTCTGTAAAACTATATTAATGTATTATCTATAAGTAGAATGGCTGGGTCTATGGTAGGTATATATGTAACAATTTAAGAAGCTGTCAAATTATTTTTCAAAGTGGATGGGCCATTTTACATTTCCAGTAGCAATGTCTGAGAGGCCGAGTTGCTCTGCATCCGTAGCACCAGCTGGCATGATACATCTTTTTAATTTCAGCCATTGTACAGGGTATATACAGATATATCATTTGGCCTTATTTCCATAACCACTAATGATACTGAGTACCTTTTCATGAGCTTATTTTCCATCCATATGTCTTCTTCGATGAAGTGTCTGTTCAAATCTTTTGATTTGAAATCATTTAAAAAGACGAGAAAAGACTGGATAAAATTGTACCACTGGAAAACTCAAAATATGTTCCTAAAAGACAAAGTTGATCTTTCTTTAAAAATTAGAGGATGCTGTGGCTAAGTCAAGAGAACTCACAGTGGAAAATAGCAGCATGGAACAGATTGTAAATAATTTTTAGTATTAAAAAAAGGGAGTTTTCTGTAAACAACAGGGATTACATTCTGGGATAAAATAGAAGAGTATGTCAAATGACCGAGTCTCTCTCTCCTAAAACATAGTGGAGTCAACAAAACATAACTAAAAAACAAGAAAAGAGAACCCTGGCAGCATTCACATGAGTGATAAGGGAGAGAGAGAGTCCAGAAATCATGTGAGCTCTTTTCCAAAATCTACCTTCCTCCCAGTCAAAACAGCACCAAAGAAGAGAACAAATGGAGAAAAATTTGAAAAAGACAGTTATCTCCTCCTTATTATGAGGGAAAACGACTGAAGATGTGAGTAATCACATCTGGGTTCAATATATCCCTGCTCTTTCAAAGCCTCCCCACGATACCACCTCAGCAGGGAGCATGGACCTGCAGGGACTCACCATTTTGCTTTGTTCTCCTTAGGAGGAAGTTAGAAGAGGGTCTATGACACAGGTGGCAAACACAAGGCCTATGGGCCAAATCTGGCCTTCTGCCTTGTTTTATCTGGCCTGGCACCTTGTTCCTACCCGGTGGCAGTGTGGACCTCTCACTTAACTGTTAAGGAGTAGTTCCATTTATTTATACAGTACTAACATTAAATTCGGCCCTTTGAAGGCAACCGCGAGGCTGATGTGGCCCCTGGTGAAAATTAGTTTGACACCCTGGACTATGAGGATAGAAAAATAAAGAAAATAGATTAAATAAGCTGCATCAATGGAGAGAAAAGATAGCTTTCAATAGGAATGCAGGCAGAAACAAATGTGAGAAAAGGCTGTGGGATAAAACACAAATACAGCAACTGTTTCCATTTGCAGTTTGACAGCAGCCTGATCATTCCCCGAGGGCTGCCTGACTTTGCCATCTTTGGGGTCAGCATGAAGCAGAAGTGGCTCATGCCACCATGGTAGGAGCAGGGACTGGACACCGAGGGTGAGAAGTACTGTCTGCACATGGAGCCTGCAGCCCACCCACACTGGAGACACAACAGGAGCCCTCAGGACACCTGCTGCTGCTCCACCTAACCATCCTATGAGAGGTTTTAAATGAAAGGAAAAATGTAAGGAACCAGAATGGTTGAACAATCGTAGGTTTCCTGGGTATGTATCTGTTTTTACAGAGTGTGCAGTTATTTGTGGATTTAACAAGGGCTCATTTACTGCTGAATGTCTTCCTACAAATCAGTTAAGGGCCGGGAGGTATGGTGACAGCTGCAGCTGTCCAGCCATCTTAACTATGTTGCTTCATGTTGAAGTTCTGCACAATTGTTTTGAAGAAAAACCTCTTCTTTCATCCCCACCCCCAGTTGCCCTGCTATAACTTACCGAGGAACCACTGGTTTTGATAACTACCGGCAGCTCTTTTTCCTCCTGCGTAGTATGATTGTCACAGGCATCACCTGGCTAATGAGAGAAATGAAAGTAATTTTTATCCAGGCATAGCCTTCCCAACATGACTGTTTCTTCAACTGTGAATTACCCTAGAACCTGTAAAAATGTACAGTCATTTCAGTGACTTGTCCATAATTATATTGAACCTTAGAAATATCATGCACTATAGTAGAAACTGGTTTCCAAAGCAGACATTGCTAAACACCTGTCAAAATCCACTTTAATTCTTTAACTTTTGAGTATCATGATTTTCTCCCACATGCTGTGCATCTGACTAAAAGGACTAAGTGTGATCTTGCGCTGGTTACACCCAATGGGATCTGAGTAAAATCGTACATGGTGAAGCCTTTGGGAAGGCTAACGTCTTCCTGTTGAAGTGGAAATTACCAGCTGGCTAACGCTTCTTCCAGAACGTGGACAGGTGCCTGTGATGCCCAGACCGTCTATAAGCATTAAATATGAGCCCGTATGCTGAGGGGAGCAGAATGAAAAGATAAAGAAGTTGGTAGATCCGTGTAAAAGAATGTCAGCCATACCGGCCTCAGATTTCTTATTTTGTAAGGAAAATAAACCTCTAATTTTAGGTCTAAGTCATGCGGCATACTGATAAAACTGTGCCATTTTAGTATCAGGCTTCATGACTATATTTTGCAATGATTATAGATCAACAGCAAGGACAGTCAGTTTTATTCAATTATGAAATTGGAAATACATTAGATTATCTCACACATACATATGACTGAAACATATTTCATTCTCAGTCACAGAAGACTGGAAAAGCTCTGGTTTTCATTATTCAGGAATTATATGTGCAGACTATTCTGACAATGATGGGCTACATCATAGGTCTCTCACAGACATTCTAAGACTTTTAGCAACACTTGCAATATGATGGCATTCCCCAAAATAAGATGAAAATATTCTGTTCTCTGATGAAAGCAACTTTTGCAAAATTAAATATAATGGGTATTAATATAACCATAAACTTTTGCATGAGACCTTAGAAACATTTATTTTTCATTTTGCTTTTCTGTATTTTCTTTCTCCAAAAGTATATGTATTGTATGTATTAAATTGATAACAAAAACACATGATCTATTTTGAAGTGGAAACAACTAAGGAGGCACTACAGGAAAACTCAGGTAAGGATGGTGGGTGGAGGTGCACCACTCCCAGTCAAAATTAGAGGAAGTGTATATTTTTATAAGAACAAACCATAGGACGAACCTGGACTGGGGTGGCGGTCACAGGCTGGAACAGTACCAGAGAAACTGGGGAGACAGTGACACCTGGAGCTGGAAGAAGAGATGGGCCGCAAGTGGCCGTGTCACAGACAGATTCTGGACTGGTCAGTTGGACTGTATGGAAAGCCAGGTGCTTGTCAGGAGCGGCAGGAGGCACCCAGCGAGATTTTTCTCAATAAAAGAACTGAGCAGCCACGCAGGCACCTCACGCACATAGAAACCTTGCATGTGCATCAGCCAGGCCAGTGAAGAGGGAGGAGTGGGAATGCGATTTGCTCCCACTCAGAGCCTCACGAATTGATCCAAGAGGTGCTGCAAGGGCTGGGAGAGGCAGCCCAGGGAGACTTTTTCTAATACAGGAATGGAGCCCTTGGCACACACTGAGGCCAGGCCAACAAAAGGGGAGAAGGGTGGGTGCAATCTGCTCCCACTCGGGGTACTTCACAGATTGATCAAAGGGTTGCACAACCACGTAGATAATCGGCGCTGGCCTAACACAAATACATGGAGTGGACAGTGTGGGCCGCACAGTGCTCTGAGTGTATGGGCTGGAAACTGGGCACCTGTGAATACTGTAGCCCAGACTGGGCCCCCCATCCTCATGGAACCACAGGGAAGGGAAAAAGGAACGCAGCTCCACTGGGCCTGCAGGATCCAGGAAGACCTACAAAACCTGTTTGGTAGGTTTAAAATCACCAGGAGGCTTCTTTTTCTTTAGGAGTAAGACAGTAAGACCTGGAGCCCAGAGAAAACCAGAGATGGATCCAGGAAGAAGTCAGAAGGTGAACACCAACAGCTGAGACAAATTTCACTTTACTACCCTTTAGAATTACATGTTTTTTTATTTCTTTTCTGTTTATTTAGTTCTTTTGTTTTGTTTGCTTTTATTGTTTGATTTGTTTTTTAATTTTCCCTTTCATATTGCATTTTAGTTTTTCTTCTTTCACTTCACTCATATTTCAAATAACTCACTACCCTTGGTCTTTTACTTTTTATTCTGATTATATATTTCTTATCATACCATTGTTATTCCAAATCCCACACAGCACCCTTCCTTGGTCTTAATCCATTTCGCCATCTTCCTCAGCTTTATTAATGTTGTGGTTAACTTTATTTTCTCTCAGACTATGCTGGGTTTCTAACTCTTACTCTCACTGTTTCTCCTCCATCTAACGTCACATAGCGCTCCTCTTTCTTATGTCAGGTCACATTCTTTTTCCCTTCTAATAGTCTTATTTCTTTTTCACCTTTTATAAACAGTGTCTAGTTGGGTGAAATATCATGGTTATTGCTGTACTTCTCCAAACAAACTCCTATATGTTCACTATTTGTTTGTACTTTAAACCCCATAGAACATAGGTGCCAAATACAAGGCCCACGGGCCAAATCCAGTCCTTCACCTTATTACACCGGGCAAGGCACCTTGTTTCTACCCGGTGGCAGCGCCAAGCTCCTTGCCCCTACTTAAGGAGTAGTTACATTTATACAGTCCTATAATTACATTCGGCGCTTTGAAGGCAACCTCGGGGTTGATGTGCCCCTCCCCACCATGAAAATGAGTTTGACATCCCTACACTAGAATATTCTCCCACTGTCTCACTCCATTTCACCTTCACCCTGACCCCGATCATCTGAGTAAAGAATTTTATTTTTCTCTCCCCTCCTTTTCTTTCTTTTCTTTTTTCCTCCCACCCTCTCTCAATCTGGGCTTTACTTCCTACTCTCATTAGTTTGCTTCCTCTGTCCTCTCAAACTCATTTTTTCTTTACTGTAGACATCTCACATTCACTTTTCACTTTTCGACAATATTCTTATTCCTGTTCTACCTTTATTAAACTTCATTCAGCTGTCGTTGCTACAGACCCTGCTATGGTTTTTCTGCAATTTTTTTCCCATTAGTCTAGCACCTTTTCAATTTCACCTCAAACCTCATAGTATACTCTTCCTCCTTCTTACCCATTGTTTCCATCATGCTTTCGTGTTTCACTTATGTTGTAAATTTTGCTCTCACTCTTTCTTCACCTCAGTTCTATCCCAGCTCTTATCAAGTCTCCTCCCTCTTACCACACAACAATACTTTCCCCTCTTTTAGTCATCTCATATACCCTTTGTCATATCTTATAATATCTGTATTCTCTCTTTACGTTTATTGATCTTAGTTCAATTGTGGTAGAGACTACTGATGTGGTAGTGGGTTCATTTTGCTGACGTAGGTTTGGTTGTCTGGTAATACTGCTTTGTTAACCAACACTTGTACAATACCATACGAGACAAGGTGGGAGTTGTGAATTCCAGTAAACCCACTAGAGGGGAAAACCCACCAACAAAGGAGCAACCGACAGCTAAATCCCAAGTACAAGAGAGATGACACAAATGGAAGAAGGGATAATCCTAGAACATCCAGACAAGTTGATCAAAGAGACCACACCACTGAGTCCCACAGAATCCCTACCACAGAAGTTCACCCTACGAAGTCAGCTGGAAAAGCATAGCATCTAGAATCACAGAAACAAACAAAAAGAGTCACCTAAAATGGGAAAGCAAGAATGGCCCACAACTGAAAGGAATGGAAGACTCCCCAGTAAAAGAGCTAAATGAAATGGAGACAAGCAAACTATCAGTTATAGAATTCAAACAGATGGTTATAAGGATACCCAAGAAACCCACTGACAACTATAAGGAACTGAGTGTGAACTAAAACAGCATGAAAAAGGAAATAGAAACTATAACCAAGAAGCAGGAAGAAACAAAGAATACATTATTTGAAATAAAAAAAAATACACTAGAAGGAATTACAAGCAGACTGGATGAAGCAGAGGACTTAATTAGTGAGCTGGAAGACAAAGTAAAGAGAAATACTTAGGCAGAGCAGCTGCACAAAAAAAAAGACAAAAAATATGAAGATGGCATAAGGGAACTGCAAGACAACATGAAACACAACAATGTTCAAATCATAGGAATACCAGAAGAAGAAAGGGAGCAAGAAATAGAAACCCTGTTGGAAAAATAATGACAGAAAAATTCCTGAACCTGGAAAAGGGAAAAGCCACACAAGTTCAGGAAGTGCAGAGGATCCCAATCAAGATGAATCCAAAGAGGCCTTCTCTAAGACACATCATGATTAAAATGACAAATATTAAAGACAAAAAGAATCATAAAGGCAACAAGGAAGAAACAACCAGTAACATACAAGGGAGCTCCAATAAGGCTATCATCTGATTTCTCAAAAGAAACACTACAGGCCAGAAGGGAATGGTAAGAAATATTCCAAGTAATGAAAAGCAAAGGCCTGCAACCGAGACTACTCTATCCAGCAAGGCTCTCAATTAAAATGGAAGGTGAAATAAGGAGTTTCCCAGACAAAAGAAGGATAAAAGAGTACATCTCCACCAAACCAGCACTGTGAGAGATGATAAAGGAACTGCTATAAGAAGAGAAAGAAAAAGAGTAAGAGAGGAGCACAGGTACAAAGGGGGTAAAATGAGTAAGTGCCTATCAATAATAACTTTAAATGTAAATGGATTAAATGCTCCAATCAAAAGACATAGAGCAGCTGAATAGATAAGAAAACATGACCTGCACACATGCTGGCTACAAGAGACACACCTCAGAACAAAAGACCTACACAGACTGAAAGTGAAGGGTTGAAAAAAATATTCCAAGCAAGTGAACAGAAAAAAGAAGCTGGGGTAGCAATACTTGTATCAGACAAAATAGACTTGAAAAGGCCATAAAAACAGACACAGAAGGACACTTCATTATACTCAA